AAAAGAATAAATATACATTCTGATTTTATTTTATCCGACTTGAGTTGTTTGATTAAAAGTAGCTAAAAGCATCGAATGTTTAAAAGCACTTCTAGGTGTCGAAGCTGATTTTATAAATAATCAGCTACGTATTTGAATAGGAGTGTTGAAGTTATAATAAAAAGCTAATATTTCTAGTACATAGAAGAGAAAGAGTTTCGATATGTGTGTTTCATGTCATTTTTAAAAAGCTCGAAGGTATATTAGTTATTTCGCACCAATTCTTACAATATTATTCACATGGCTTATTTTTCAATACAAAATGCTACGTGCAAGTTTTAATTGAGCCCAAGTTTTAAATGAGTACACGTGTGTTCTACGGAGCATATTAAGTTTTCAGCTATTTCTTTGTGCATAAAAAAAACTTTCAAATCCTGGATTACTTCTCCAATTCTCTTTGTCTTCCTCAAATTTCTTCTACCTGCTGGTATGATTTTAATCAATTTTCCCCATGATTTTTTCTATGCATATGATAAATTAAACAATTCTTTTATCTTCAACTTCAATTTTGTAGTTTGTATTTGTTTCTCCTTTTTCTGCTTTTTCAATTAATTTCATCCGACATGCGAATATTTTTGTCGAGATCAATCATGATACTGGTATGGGTATCATGCCTAATTAAAAGGAAGAAAATTTCGGGTATAGTGCTTACTCAAGTTTTATGGGTTCTGTTCATACTTCTTTTTAATCCTCTTCCACTTCAATTTTGTAGTTTTGTATTTGTTTCTCCTTCTTTTGCTCATTCGATTAGTTTCAGCCCACATGGAAATTTCTTGGTTGAGATCAACGGCTTCTCGATCTCAATTCGTTGATGGTATTGATATGGGTATTAAGCCTAATTTAAAAGGAATTTTTTTGGTATAAGTGCTTACTCAAATTTCACGGGTTCTGTTCTTTTTTTTTCTACATCTTTATTTCCTTCCGTGCTTTTTCTAGATTCTCCATACCTTCAAAATTTTGCAATGTCATGGCTGATTTTCCTCATTATTTTTTCCCTTCTTCTAATTTTTGCACTATCTTCTTTTGGGCTCTGTTGATGAAGTTTAATTTTGCAACTTCATGGTTGGTGTGTGTTAAATCGAGCGATAAAATGCATTTTTAAACATGATGCACGCTCAGTTTTGGATTTTATTTGGTTTTTCAGTTGTACGCTTTGAGACTAAACTTCTTATGCTAGATTTGAGAGAGGGGCCATCTAATAAACTTGAATTTAAGAAAAGCGATAGTTTCGACGTGTTGGCTTAAAGTCTTTACAATTGTATTTCAGGATATTTGAGACTTTTCACAATGCTTAATTGAGACACGGCTGTTAAACCTTGGAACATGGCTTTTATCTGAAGATGAATAGCCACATATCAGAACAAGGATGCTCTTTGTTCTGAAACCTTTATGCTCTTTGCTGGTTCGAGTAAAGTTCAGGAAATTCATCAAAATTCTTAATTTCAGGGGTTCTATGGTATTATTCCATCGATCCTATGTCAGTATTCTTGCTTCTTCATTGCTTTATTACTCTTACATGGTTTTTTTAATCTCTTTCTTTTTTCTTTTAGTTGTTTGATTATGTCTGGATACAAGGAAACTCAAACTAGTAGATGCAATCAAACCTTTTCTTTTGCTTTTGTATTTGTGGAATAAAAGGTATGAATCATTAACGCTCATTTTTTTCCTGATTTTTAATGTTTCTAATAGGTTTTCAATATATTTGCCTTGTATTTTGATGATCTAACAAAGTTAATGTCAAGAACCAGATAGAGAACCTGACTCACTTGGATTACACTACATCTAACAGATTCCAACCAAATGTGAACTTGATACAACTTTAGGAGTAGGAACCCAGACAAGGACCTGATACTCTTGTGGGTTCCTCACGGTAGTACAAAGTCAATTGGACACATCTAGAAATGAAGATTCTGCCGCACTGCACTGTTTCCAGCGCCCACTTATTCTCTGATCAACTAAAGTACAATGATTCAAGTTACTCAACTCAAGACAATCTGTGCAGTCTGCACAAGTACCAAATCAGGAACCTGATCCCTTGGTGCTCCCCTGACAGAAGTACAACTCAACTATACATCTGGATCGCAACTGCATAAAGTGACTATCCGCAACTGTAGAAAGAGGAACACAACAGGGACCTGATCCCTCAGAGTTCTCTGACAGAAGTACAAGTCAACTATACAGCTGGAACACAACTGAGTGACTGTCCACAAATGTACAAAGAGAAACACAACAGGGACCTGGTCCCTTAGGGTTCTCTAACAGAAGTACAAAGTCAACTACTGCTTG